TGAAGATATTTTTTAGAGTTTTTATATAATTGGCCTTGTTGCGATAATAAAATAACAACCATTCCACAAAGTAAATACAAAAAGACCGGTAAATATTCTCTACCATGTTGGGCCTTGCAATTGATGTCTCAATCACAACTCAATTATTGGGGGGAAATTACTACGAAAGTTCTATACCTATGGCACTTGTGCCAATTCAGTCTTAAACCTTTGAATTTGGCCAATTTGGCCAATTTAATCTTAAACCATATGACAATTTCTCAATTCAGTTCTAAACTTTTCAGTTGTGCCAATTTAAGTGGGATCCTCTTTTAAACAACATAAGCAATTCACACTTTTACTGCTTTTGCGAGCAAGCAGTCGGTTTCCATAGAGATTGCTGGAAAGTTCCAATTCTAAGCTCCGGTAGCAAGTCCGGCACAGATCTTATCAATGGAAATTCATTACTCAAAACACCAATCTCAATTGACAAGGCAAACGGTGGAATTGTTCTTATCAACTTGTGCCTGTACATGCATAGACGATGACTATAAATTTCAATATTTCCTAGGAGCATGATGGATAAAAAAATTGGAAGAAGGCGTGATTAACGTGGCTTATCATATAAACCGACTAAAGAGGGGTGAAAGCCACAGAAGTTAACAGCTTGGAACTAATGGCAGAAGTCAATTTCACTGTTGTTTTAAGGGAAAAATTCGGTCAACCTACCTTTGGAAATAGTCAACTTCAAAAGGTTACTAGATGAGGTACCGGTACATGCGAGTCAGATACCTCTTTTCGCGAGAGTAAAAGAGAGGAAGGCGCTTAGGAGCTGCCGACTCATGGACTAGCAGGCACAAGATCCTCTTGGAAGACAAATCTAATCACCAGTTATGCCCCGAACGCTATAACCAAAGAGTAAGTGTATAACCCTTAATTACATCCCTCCCTGGAAAAAAAACACAAAATGAGCGAGAACCAATCTGGAATCATGCTTATAAGGTGTAATGTCGTAAGATTTTCCTACCCCAAATTGCCCAAACCAGCTATTGCTGCTTCCAATTATAGCACCGAGATGGTGGGGATCGATTTTGAGAAACTCGGCACACAATTTCCAACAAAATCAGAACAAACAACAGGTACTTGTGACAGTTTTTAAGAGACTCATCGTAAAAAGGCGGCCTTCCAAGGCTAATTCAATGAGATACTTTGTTCATCTCCGGCGCAAACAGCACATCATCCTCAACATGCCCAAACCCACTAACGGGCGACCATAACATCGCATCATAATTTATAAAAGAGGAGTAAAGTACCTCCGATTTCAAAAGAGCCATCCTCCCACATAAGGGTACCGAAGCGACATAGAACTTACTAAAAGGGGAGATCAATTCAAGTTCTTACTACTATGAGAACCTATTACATCCTCTTTGTCACACCCATATACCAAGCTTAAGATCTAAACTATGCCCCGTTAGATTAATTTCAGCAAAATTAATCATCAACTCAACAGACAATGATATGCTTTCTGAGGGATATATTGCTAGCTAGAAAATTAAGGTCCTCCAATTAAATTCATCTTTTAATGTAAGTTTCCAAGCAAGCTAAGTATACAGACTCATATCACCAACAGCTGCAAAAATATTTAAACAGACAATGATATGTTTATGTTAATTTCAGCACTGCTGAATGCTGAGGTAGAATGAACTCCATGAGATTGGGGCGGAGTGAAAAATGGTACACTCTTTTCTTTCTTGGGGTGGAAATCCCACTCCATCAGTCTGTCAATGGTCATAAAGGAATCATATTAAGAAAAAGCAACGTAGGATCATACTAGAAGTCTAGACAAATGAATCAGCAGATAGATCTCTGAGAATACCTTCAACTCATTGTATGCAGAATAGTATTGAGGTTAACCTTCCCCTTGGTCTCCCTACAGCTTCTTGCCCTGTATCTATCAAGGTCAATAAATTAGCAGATTCAGAATATGGCTGCACAGAGCATGTAGAAACAACAAATGACAATCTCATAAATGAACAGATTCAGAATAAAAGTCAATCATGGGATATAGAGTGGGCACCTTTTTAAACACCATTCTAACCATTTCCTGTAGGATATCAGACTCAATAGAATTCTGAAATACGCTATTGCCACAGTTTTTACTAAGAGTCTCCAACACCTACTTGAAATTCATAACCAAATATTTTAGCCAAGTGATAGCCGACTCTTGTAGCCATTTAGAAGAAAGAAAAGAAGAGAGCAACTGGATCCAGAACTATGCACATGTAAGAAAGTAGAGCATGATACTGACATGGAGGGTCAGAAGCTGCATTTTTGGATCTTTATTCCCCAGGCAGCTTCTTAAGGATCTTCATCACCTCCTTTGCCTTCCTACAGAAGTTAAACCAATTCAACGACTAAAACCAATATCTTTGATGCAGAAATAACATGTAAGGAACCAGCAAAAAAACAGTTGCACAATACAATAACTTCATTCCTAAGATCCATGACAGCAAATAGCAGCATATTCCTCTAGCTTGTTAGCCATATGATTTATGTCATAATTTATCTCCCTCTTTCTTGTGAACACTCCAAGATAAGAGTTTAGAGAACATAATTGATATACATTCATGTATACAAATATATAGTTTTGATATAGAACCATCTCGGTAATTGTGAATTTTCGAGTATGAGTATGAATTTCTAATCTTCATTTGGAAGTACAATCATACTCCCTGCAATCGACAAACAATATTCAAATTCAGCAAGTTACATAACATGTTTCCGCATGGCATTCGTGTCTTTATATTATAGCGATACATGACATCAACAAAATGCATAGCATGTTTGGGATTAGGCTTATTTGTTTTCAGTAGCCTTCAACTTATTACCCAACTTTTGTATCTCGACATCCCACTTCACACTTTTTTTTTCCATTTTTCTAGGTAAGAATTAGCATCATCTTATAACTGAGTCCATCACACAATGCTTTTTGTTGCTCTTTACTAAGAAATGGCAGGTTAATTGAATCTCCCAAAGGATTTACATTTCTAGATAAATTCACGATTCATAAGCTCTGTAAAGTTGGACTCCTTGGAGTTTCTGGAAGGAAAAATTAAAGAGTCCATCAAAGAGGCCGATGGACCATGTTGTTACAAACAGCAACGGACCAGCAATACTTAGTTCAAAAATCGAATATGTCAAGATGTATTCTTCTAAGCATTTAGAAAGAAAAAACAGTTTCTCAATTACAGGGATTATCGCAGTACATTTCCAGATTCCTAAGAAAGGTTTGTCAGAAGTTGAATCGGTTTGATAATTCAGACAGAAGCACATCAAAGGAACTTCAGACAAGTGGCCGAGAGAAAATGCAGCCCCCTCCGTGAGTAGTAGTAAATTAAAGGAAACCTGACCAACTTCAAACATCCTAAACTAGGCCATACCCCCAAGCCAATGCTTATAAAAAAGAAAAAAATCACAATGCTGCCCATTGGGGGGATTTCTATCTAGACATATATCTCATATACTAATAAGCCATCCCAATCATCACTGATTCAATCAAAATCAACTTCCCCCATACAAAGACACTTTCAAGCTGCAAGTTGCTGTAGGATCCAGCTAACGGCTAACAGGGCCAAGCTATTATGCCCAAATTCCAAATCAAAATATCGAAAGAGAAGAAAAAAAAGGGAGGACATAGGAAATACCCACCCTGGGTATCGTATAGTTCAATGTTAATACCCCATTCAGGGCCAATCAACAGATCACTCGTTGTCCTCTCGGCACAATCTACTGCATCCATAGCCTCTGACTCTTTACTTCAAGGTTATCTTGCAAGTATTCCTGACGGGATCGACCCACCCAAGATGTCAATTAATATAAAATTCAAATTCCATGAAATTCAAGCGACCTCACTCCCCCAGCTAAAGTTAAAAAAAACACACCTAAAAATCCGGACAGAAAGCCCAAGATTCCTCCAACATATGCAAAAATTATCCACTGATCAGCTGGGCGATCACCTTTTTAATTTGCCTCTTACGAAAATCCCTTCGAATTCAAAGATAAAGATACCCGCTCCTAATATTGATCAAGGAGGCGCCAAAAGATCACATTTTTTTTTCCTAAAAGAGGAGAAATTAAATTTTGGCCACTTCAGTAATGGAAATTTTTGGAGCCACTGCCAGTTCTGCCCAGCCTACTACCACCGAAGGAAGGATCCCCATCCGCGAAAAAAAAACCGAGTCAAAGGGCTTCGACCTTCAAAGGAAATGTCAAAGGGGAGGGAAGTTGCGATCCCAAGAAACAGCTGAGCTTGCTTTTATCAAGGACAGATGCAGACGCTACTGAATTTGGTGCAGCCACCAGTGCACGAAAGCAGCTAACTCCTAAACCCAACTGCAGCAGCATATAACTCCACCACAACCTGGCCTTGTTCGCATCGGGGCTGGGGGCCGAGAGACAGAGAGAGAGAGTAGGGGGGATGGAGGGGGGCGACGGGGCCACGGTGGTGGTGGAGTGCGACGGTGGGTATGGCGGCTATAGAAGCGCCACGAGGCATCATCGACCATGTCAGGGTATCGGTGGCTGCCGGGGGGCTCAATCGCATCGGAGGAGGAGACGCCAAAGCTTTGCCAAGAGAGAAAGGGAAGCCCAAATCATCACGGACACAATTATTATTATTATTATTAAATAAATAAATAAATAAATAAAATAAGGGATGAGAAATTTGTCAAAATTTAATTAATTATAAAAAAAAGGACGAGAGACGGTGATCTTAAATCCAAATTGTGGGAGGGGCGAGTTTATTTATTGAATTGGCAGTTGCAGTTGCAGCAGTTGGAAGATACAAACGAGAGGTGCTCCCTTCATCTTCATTTTAACACCCCCCCACCCCGCCACCCCCACATTACAGGAATCCCAACACCAGAAAATTACGTAACTATGGAAAGACAAACGAAGCCGCTTTTTTTTTTTTATTAAAAAAAACAACAATATTAAACTTATCAGCCTCAACTCACTCACTCACTCGGCCCCCCACGAGGTAGGAATCCAATCTTGGCCCAGTACTGGGACTCATCTTCTTTCACTTTACGTGCTGCCTCTCCAAATGTCATTTCTTCTACGAGGCTCTCAACATCCAACTGCAAAGTGACCCGGGCGGTGGGGTCCCACTCAAACTCGGCCCACCAGCTTTTGTCCCCCTCGACCACGAAGCTTCCCCTCGCGCTGCTCGAGTCCAACGGCAACTTTCTGAGACGAGGGCAGTACCATATGTCGAAGCTTACCCCCTGGGGAAAGAATAGAGCTTGGTCGCAAATGCTCGTTAGTTTTGGAAGATTAAAGAGATGTAGGGATTCGAGACGTGAGAACAGTCCCGAAGCAGCTAATTCCTCCCTTGCAAATCCATCCCCAATGATTCTCTCCATTGAATTGCAGTACGCGACCCACAGTTCCCGGAGCTTCGGAGCATGCACGAGCCAGGTCAAGTCCGAAAGCTTGCAACTATAGACCCTAACTTCAACGAGATTGGGGAAGCAAGAGCAGTTGGGCGCTCGTCCTATTCCTTGAGTTATCTTCATCTCCCTCAGCTCTGTACATGAAGGTAAATAAAGCGTCTCTAAATGCGAGAAATCGTCAGTGCTTGCTGGTGAGTAAGTTATTACAATGCTAGTCAAGTTACCATTCTCATTATTAATGCACGCTCTCCTTATGCGTCTCCGTAAATTTGAGGATTGGAATATTTTCTGGACAGAGGAAGACTCGCGCACGCAGATAGATAAGTCGGTGAGATGTCGCGTGCACCCTAGTTCCTCTACCATCTCTTCTTCCTTCACTAAACAATGTTCCCCCATATTTCTTTCAGACTCCCACACGCTGAACACATTTAACGGTAAGCTTGTGATTGCCCTTGTCGGAATAAGGATGTTTCTTTCCAACATATTGTCCAGTAGCAACCACCGTAAACGAGTCAAGTTCTTGATTTGCCTGGGCAACTCATGAATACGAGTGGCCGACAAGTTCAAGTATCTTAGATTGATCAGATTGCAAATCCCTTTGGGGAATGACTCGATATGTTTATTGTCGGATAGGTCCAAGACCGCCAGACGAGCCGTCATCGAGTCGAAAAAGCCTCTTGGCACGAACGTCACTTCTGTTTCCCTTACAAATAAAGTTTTGAGCTGCGAACACTTAGATGGTATTCGGTTGATATTTTGAATCCATTTTCCCCATATACATACTTTCTTCGCTTCCCTCCATTTGGAGATCATCTCCTCGGATATGTCTTCTACGTTCTCTATCACTAGCAATTTGTTCTCCTTGTGCCCGCGGTCACGAGCAATCCAAGTCGCCATGTCACGAATGACGTCGTGCATCTTTACGTACTCTCCATTTGAATCAAGCCCGCTCTCCAATAGGCAAGCCCTATTTAACCTCCCCAAGACATGCTCTCCCTCATTCTGCAAACTGTATACATCACCGGTGTCTCCTAGCAAGCCCTCTCCAATCCAAAGTCCAATAAGGTTGTGCGGTCTTATGTGGTAATCCTCAGGGAAGAGACAACAGTAAAGGAAGCAAAGCTGAAGGGTAAAGTCATTTAATCTATCATAACTTAATTCTAGTATGTGGTACACTTCCTCCACCATACCTGTCAGCTTGTGCGGATTTTCCTTGAGCGTTGTCAGCGCATGTTTCCACTCACGGGGATTGGCTATGCCAGTCATGGCTCGCCCGACAGTAATAAGGGCTAGTGGCAACCCTTTGCACTCTTGCGCAATGTCCTTGGCAAGTTTTGGAATTTCTGGATGAGAATCTACGGTTGATTTGCCAACGTTGTTCTCGAACAATACCAGGGCTTCTTCGGGCGTCAAGCACTGTACTTCGAAGATTTCGCCAGCTCCCATTTGGTGGCATACTTGCTTCAAGCGAGTTGTGAATACTACTTTGGATCGGTTCTCGAGACCAGGACAAGGAACTCCGATTTTGGAAAGGTCCAGGCTCGCCCATACATCATCAATCAACAACACGAACTTCTTCTGGGTCAAAACTTCCAATAGATGATGGACCCTCTCATCCCGGGACCATGCTTTCCAGCTCTCATCTTTAATGTTCAGCCTTTTCCTTATGGCATCTCGAATACTATCTTCGTTCACTTGTCGGGACACCACCACCCAAATAACGACCTCGAATCCATGATTTGCGTGCGAAAGCTTCTCGTTGATCATTTTCATGAGAGTGGTCTTTCCCACACCGCCTGTTCCATACAACCCAATCACTCCTGCTTCTCTTTCGTCCACGAGCCATTTCCACACTTCATTAAGAGAACGATCAAGCCCCACAGTCTTGTCTATAGACATCTCGAACACCTGAGGAGGAGGAGGCAGCGGTGACGTGAAATCGCTGAATTCTCCTTTCTCATGTCGGAGCTCTCTCGCTTCGTTGAGCAATTGATCGACTCTTTTTCCCAATTTATAGCTCGACCAGCAGTTTCGTGGAAGACAATGACTGACACATTTGATTTGGTCACGTTCCCCGGTTTCTTGAAGAACTTGATCTACTCCACCTTCAAAGTCTTGCACCTTGCCTAACCAGTTCACCACTTGATTCGTGCGCCGAGCACCTCCTCCTTCTTCTTCACGTTCCACCCTCGCCTTCACATCGTTGCGCACGGCCTTCAGGCTGTCAGTTTCGGAAAGCAACGAGTCGACATTACCTTTAAGATTACAAATGAGGCCCAAAGGTTTGCTGGCCAAGCCCCATAACCCTTTGACGAGTCCTAAAAGAGGACTTGCAAAATCCATAGATTCTTTATGAGATAAGAGATCGAAAAATCGACTGTTTAGATGATTGGAAAGCAGTTGAATGGGTGGAGCTCAATAAGCTCTATTATATTTATCTTGATTGTTCTGGCTAGTAGATGAAGAAAAGAATGTCGGAACCTTTTCTTTACTTCAACAAGAGAAATGGAACTACTATTCTTTTTCTTTCTTGTCGGGGTTGAGCTGCGAAGAATCTTACGGTTCAGAAATGAAATCCACAGACGTTTGAGCCTAGAAGAAAGGAAGGTATCCGTGACAAGTCTCCCTTTGAAGCACCCTGATGAGCTATGCGATTTAAGGTCTGCTTGAGACAATATACACATGATGGCGTAATATGGACAAAGGCAAAGAGTATCAGTGACCTATATTTCTTTGAATCCTGGCAATGCTCATGTTCTTCTTCCTTCTTTTGTGTATAGAGTCCATAGACCGCGTGGAATGTAATCTAAGGTGTCCAGAAGCAAAGAATTATTCGATTCCTTCTTAAGATGCAAAATAATATAATTGAGGAGTCGGTCTTTTAGAATCGCTCCAATGGAGATTTCACAAAATAAATTAGCTGGTTATTTTAGTTCTCATAACTCGACAACTTTGGTAACTATCGAAGCAAACCATAAAAAGCCTTCTATAATTATTAGAATAAGAGTCTGTCTGGTGTTTACTTTTTGCTTTTTTATAATCTATCGGCGTAACCGGATTCACTTTTATTAATGTAAAATGCTTAAATCTTTGAAAGTAATCTCACATTGATGCTGAAAACAGACGACCTCAAATCAAAGATCTGGTTCCGTTGGATGGCGCCTTGATAGCGTGTACTAAAAGGAGACACGAGCAGTAGTAATTGACTGCTTTAAAGTTAGACGCTCAAGGCCTTGGTTCGCATCAACCTCGGGTTCCTACCATTTCCTTCAAAATTGGCAACTACACTAGCTTTCCCTCCACAAGAACAAATAGACTCTCGAGTAGAATTGTTATGATGTGATTTACTCATGCAAATTCCCTTAAGATTTAGGTCTAATTAGCAACATTCACAGAGATGAACAATGTTGTCATGAATCACGACCTCTTGGGAGAGACCGGCTGTTCACGGAAAGGGGCAAAAATGAAAAGAGGAGAATAAAACTTCCTAGGCACGCTTCAAACTTCATACAACAAGGCTGAGGCCACCGATTATCATTCTCAAATGAGAATTGCAACATTCTGGAGGATTTGTGAAAGGACAATGTTCAAGACATATGCTTACAATGGAACAATACCAAGAGAATAACTGGGGCTCACTAAAGCTATTGCTTAACTTTCAGCGAATCCTCAATCCGCTGGATCAGTTGATCAGCTGTCAGAGCACCCTCCTGATAATTAAAAATAAGAAAAGGGTAGCTGATTAAAAAACATCTTAAAAAATAATCCGTTGGAAGCAATCGAACATCAGAAGAATTTCACAACCCAATCTGGCAATCGAATTATGAATGAGAATCGATTAAATTCTGATTAACTACCATTCATAGACCACAAGAATAATGCATGAATCTTAGGCAATGCCTATTAGTTATTATCATTTCTGCACGGACGTACAAGATTTTGAGCTGGCAACCATGTCCTTCACAGAAACATTATGGGGATACCCTCTGCCTTGCGCCAAAAATAGTATCGCTTTGTCTGTTAACTATGCATGGATTGCAGCAACCTAGCAACAGGAGAAGCTGTGTTCTCCTGGATGGTCAAGCTCTACAAAGGGAAGGCCTTCCGTTGATTGCTGTTAAAGACTTATGCAGTTTGTGTGTATTAATCATCTGTTTTTATGTAGAAACATGGTGCTTCATCATGGTCTTGGTGCTGGTTCCATGTTTTGCAAAAGAATAATGATGATGTTGGATGGAATACTCAATTCATAAAAGGCTTAGGAGGAGAATGGTATCTACTAATTGAAGGTTATTATTGATTCTTCATGCCACAAGAGGGGCCTAAGTGCCTATATACATTACAAGAGGCGTCTGTGCTCTTTTGGCAAAATGCAAGTGCTCTATACAGAGTTCACCCTGTATCATTCACATTATAGAGAACGTAAATTGTCGAGAAACTTGTGACTGCAGGTTTTCGTTCATATTAGGATATCTAAGGCATCTCATCACAGTATCAAAAACTTTATGAGCCTTTATTAACATAAACTACTATCCAATTATTATGAGAACTTCGTAGATTGGATTTCCATATGACAGCAGAGGTGAAAAAGATAAAACTTACAAAACGCTCAAAGGGCTCCCCGTCTTTAAATATGATAAAGGTAGGTAATGCTTCTATCCTGTATTTATCAGCAATGCTGGGGTACTTCTCAGTATCGATCTTCACAACTTGAATTGTATCCTTAAGTCTAATGCTGACCTCATTAAGGATGGGAACCATAAATTGACAAGGACCACACCTGGCAGAAAAGCTCAACTTATAAGTATTATGCCCAATCAAGTTGCTCAAAGATTTATTTAAAAAGGTATCATTGCTTCAAATTTTTGGAGGATGAAAATTACCAAGTAGCATAAAAATCAACTAATACAGGTTTCTCGGATTTGGCCAACAAATCATCCAAAGAGTTATATGTCTGCTTCTTAGCTTCAACCTGTAAAAACAAGGAATACCGGTAAGTGGATGTTTCTAATATACAAAATAAAGATTAAAATCAATATCACCAAATGGTCCAACAGACACAAGCGGAAGCACGTATATTTTCTTTGACCATATTTTTCTAGTCTGAAAGAGGCCTAACTTATTAAGAAGGATCATAAAGTTTTTTTTGGTAAGGGAAGGATCATAAAGTTTAACTCCATTATATCAGAGGAAGGAGACAACTATATAAAGACCAAATGCTGTTACCAGCAGAAACGAGTACAAAGAGGGTCAAATACGTTTCAATTTTAACAACAGTTAAACAGGATGCAGACCAATCACAAGGATAAAAATGCATGACAAATAACAAGAAGAATCGTCCAGGATATCGACATACATATAAACTCCCAAATGAAACGATAAAGTCTATCGTTGTCTGTTGTTGTTTGTGATGACATGTACAAAATCAACTCCTGCTTAGAGTTCATTTGGTATAGGTGAACCCCCAGGCTTCCCCAAAGAAGCTTTACAAACCTCTAGCAAGGTCTTCTAGTCATCCTTATGCCATTGGAGGCCTTACTCGTATATTTTTAACACTGTAATTCATAATAGCTCTGTACCACTTTCTTCAACATTCTTTGAGATTCAAAGTCCTTCATTTGAGATGTCCGAACCATCTCAAATGAGCTTCTGTAACCTCACCTATGAGTCTATGACTGGGCCACACAATTCTTACCATATAGTTATAATTCTGATATTGTCTTTTCTCAGGTTCCAAAGTACATAGTTACACTTAATGATGATGTCTTGCACACGCCAATTGCCTTTCTCATGCTATCAACAGAATTCTAAAGGTCAATAAAATTCTATACTTTGCTCATAGATCCTAACTATCAACTGAAGGGTTAAGAGATAAAATTTACGATTATGCGGTACAAACAAATCTTTTAATGCTCAATTAGCAAGCGCTTAGCTTAGATTATAGCGTCAAAACAGAAGGAACAAGGCAAGCAAGTCAGTAGACCATATTAATTAGAGGGAAAAGAAACAGGTAAACATCTTGAATATGTCCTCAAATTATTAAAAAAAAAATGTACAGCAATTACCCAACAAATTGGCTCAAGAGCAGTAACTATAACAACGCTACGATGTTCACTTCAACATAATGATAGAGGTAATGACTAATGACCACTAGTGTGCAATCCTGGACTTGTAAATACAACACCTAATTACAATCCCTTAAAAAGATATATGCGGAGGAATTATGGAAGCAAGTCATTCTTGGAATAATTAAAAATCAAACAATCCTATACATGTGTGGCTCTTTCCAGTGGTCCTGAAAAAATGGATGTGAATTTATTTGGAAATTGTAATACACGAAAGAGCCAAAGCCAGCACAGTCTAACAGCAATACCCTTGAACAAAAGAGTCTAAAATAGCAAAACTTGATTTTCTTTGCAACTCTCTTTGACAACCGAAATTTGGCAGTCTTTGCTTGCGTATTTGTATGACAATCATCTCACATCAGGTGCTATCACTAAAATGTTCAATTCCTCAACTGTTGAAGAACCAACTCCTCTGAAATCAGCAAAGTTTTGCTGCAGTATTGTCCAACTAAAGCATTGAACATTTTCCTTTACTAATAGATCTTTTTTATAACAGTAAGCAGTATGGTCACATAAATGACAGATGATTACATCAGACAAGATGCTAACATGAGAATGTTAAAGTTCCTCATACGTCAAATGAGCAAACTCCTGATAATAGTAATAAAGCATAAGGTAGATTTCACCAGTTTATTTTCTTCTAGACAGATCATATTGTGAAAAGGTCAATCCTAAAATCTTCTCCGTGCAATGAACGAATTCATCTAGTCTTAGAAAAGACATGAGACTGATAACCCAGTATGATGTCAATTTCTTTATACATGAAGATCAAGAAAACACGACATGACATTGTCAGTGATTACCTCCTAAAGCACATTCATTGCATTTAGGAAACAATCACTATGGGTTTAGTAGGGAAAACCATCACAAGTACAATGCCATGTAGCATGCAAATAGCGACACGAGCTGTTTAGATTGACGCATAACCTGTTTGGTTAAGCCGGATGCCATACAATGTTTAGTAAGCACGTGACTATAATACTCCATTCTCTTCTTTATTGAAAAACATAGCTAATTCAATGATAAAATAGAACGAAGATGTAACACATAATAATCGCCCCGACAAAATCGAAGTTAAGCAGTTAATAAGAGAATTCGCCCGACGTCGAATGACCGCTCATGTGATTTACACGCCATGCCGACACTCGTATCGACCCAACAAAGCTCCACTGCACACTAAGACCCGATGTCGATGCCGGTGGGGAACACACACACACCAGAGCACGATAAATCCACGAGCAATGAATGCTTTCAGCAACAAAAGCAAGCCACGGCCAAGCTAAATCTAGAGCAAGAGACGCCCGATTCCAGTCAAAAATATCCCAACATCGAGTAAGCACCGGACAAGAGAAGGAGCTCGCGCTCCGGCGACCACGCCTTCAGCGACGACAGAGCGACACCGCAACACGACGGAATCCATCGGAGAGAGAGAGAGACAGAGAGAGAGGCGTATTACCACCAGAGAGGAGCTCCGAGGCCACGGATTCACCGAGATCCTCCGGCCTCCTCCGCCGCCGCCGGAGAACCCGCGAGAGCCAGCCGGGAGCCGGAGCCGGAGCGGCGGCGGGGGGGACGAGGCGGGGGCGGCGCCGGCCCGATTCTCGCTCCTCAAGCAAGGAATCGAAGAGGGAGAGAGCGAAATCGCCATGGGAACAACCACCGCGAGCTCTTCCTCCTTTTTGGATAGAATCGAAGAGGAGAAAATATCTCCGCAGCTGCGTCGCCTGCGCGCGTGGATTCGGGGAAGAGGAGCGAAGAGCTTTTCGGATTCTTCGGCTTCGGCCCTATTTATACACGTGTTACGGTGCGAGCCGTGCGACGAGTGAGGAAATGTCTGCCGGGGATCTTGTCCGTCCGATCGTGCCCCTCTCGCGGGGGGCCTGGGGGAGTGGGTTGACCTCGTCGGATCGGACGGTCCTGATCTTTGGTTTGACCGGACGGTGCTGGCCAAGGGGAAGCCGCCTCCTCCAGAGTTGTTGGAGGCTTTCTGTTGGTGATGTTCGGTCGCAACTACCGTTTCGATTTTCGTTTTGGCTTTTCTTTTCACGGATATTATTATTATAATTTAAAATTGGCATATTCCTTGTGATTTATTATTTGTAAAATAGCAATATATCGAGGGAGCATCAGTACAAACTACAAAGAGGAGAATAATTATTATTATTATATATATATATATATATTATAAAAATTCTGTTTAGTTCCCAAAATGGGCAGGAAAAAAATTAGTAATTTACGTCTTATTGTCTTGCGACAGGCCAACACGTGAGTCGTATTAGGCGCCGTGCTGATATTTGTTATGACCTTCGCATCGGAATGATGATGTGGTAGCGTGGAGAAATCAATTATTTATGAAGCAAAAGCTCGGTGAAGAAACATGTCTACGAGTACCTCAAATATGACTGTCCATCAAGATAAATGACTTTTTCTTCTTTTCAAAGGAAAATCATAATACTGAGAAGGTTGAGGATATTAAGATTAGGTACGCACTTGGATTTTCATGGGATTTACGTCTTTAAATTCTTCACCACTTTTATTTCTTATTGTCCATAGTGAACATTTTGATCTAAGATTTCGATTCTCCCATATTTTTCGTGACTATGATCTCTAGTGAAGTCGATACTCGATCGTATAGCTGATAGTTTCGCTTTACAAGGACCGAACCGCGCTCATAGCGTGCACGATCAAGAGCTAATTGACTAACAAATCCAAGCAAAATATGCATTAATCTAATTAAATTGGCTAATTAACGATACAACTGCGTCTCTCTAAGAGGAAAAGAAAGGATTGAAAGTACTTTTAGCACTATCGGTAGCTATGGCAGCCGTCAGAGATGGTTGTCCTTCCATAACTTCCAAGTTGAAAAAAAATATATATATGCCCAGAGACGAGCTTCAAAGCATGACGATACTTACACTGTAGGATCTTCGCTCTGCACTTTGCAACTCACTAGAAAGGGCCATCTCCCCAATTATGGTAATGAGCCTGTTCAAATTTAAGGAAATCATAACTCGTTCTATGGACAGAAACAAACACATTCACATGTAAATGTCCGTAACAGAATTTTGACATTTCCACCTCCGCTGTTCTTGCAGACTATATCCGTCGAGTTACTAGAGCTCAATGAACATCGTGCAGTTAAGGGCTAAGTGGTAACAGGGATAGGTATCCGATGGTTGTCGTACACTCAGCTTCAGCTCAAAAAGGAAATACTGTTTACACGGTGTTACAATGTGAAATAACATTAATTCGTGGGAGCCGGGAAAAGAACTCTGAGGTACACCAGCCGATCACCCGTCGCTTGTCCATGTGAAGGCCAAGAGAACAATGGTTAGTGCAGAAAAGATGGTGGCGCAAGGAAACACCCACATAAGCCAATTCGAGCTTCTGCCGGGACTCTTCTCTTGGCCGCTCAACTCGACCTCCTTGAGCAGCTCTCTCACTCCGTCCATGTCGGAGTCCTTGGCAGCTTGAATTAGCCTGCTCTGAATTTTTTCGAGCTTTGAGAGCCTTCTTTCTTTACGTGCATCCTTGGGTGGCCAGATGAAACCTGTCATCTTCCATAGGAGGATACCCACGTAAATGGCAACGATACAGTCTACAGTATAATGGTGGCGTTCCCTTATCTCTCTTTGGGCACTGTGCATCACAAGCAGCCATACGAAGACCGAGCTGAGACCCCCATAAGCCTCCTGTAAGGATAATAAATACAAACTTCAGAAACTTTCGTTCAAACCACTAGGACATTAAAGGAAAGAAAACAACTGAAAGGATATTTGAAGATATTCGGTTTTGATTGCTCTAGACTAAAATGGAGAGAAGGGGTCAATTGGGGAGGTAAATTTCCACTACTGTTGGTGCGTTTGTTTCGCAAAAAAATGAATGATTTAGAAAATATTTTCCTAAAAATGATCGCTTGTATTGTTCAAATAAATGACCAAAGAAGAAAGAGTATCATCGTCCACGAAAGTCCACGAAAATGCATGGACATAAATAATTGTTGGTAATGAAAACATTACCTAATTATTTCAAGCAATACAAGCGATCATTTTCAGGAAAATGTTTTCTATATCTTTTATTTTCCACTAAATAAATGAAGCCTATGATAGTTTTCAATCACTCGTAAAATTGGACTAAAATGGAGAGAAGGGGTCAAATGAGGAGGTAAGTTTCTCCTACTCTTGGTGCGTTTGTTTAGCAGAAAATGAATGATTTAGAAAATATTTTCCTGAAAATGATAGCTTGTATTGTTCAAAAAAAGACCGAAGAAGAAATATTTTTCTTGTCCACGAAAATACATAGACATAAATTATTGTTGATAATGAAAATATTTTTCATTACCTAATTATTTTATGCAATTCAAGCAATCATTTTTAAGAAAATGTTTTCTAAATCATTCATTTTCCGCTAAACAAATGAAGCCTTTGATAGTTTCCAATCACTCGTAAAACTGGAGCAAAAGTGAGGGATGCAGCTGCTTTTCTCTTCAGATTCTCATTTTAACCCTCAACACTCAATTAAGTTAGAATATCCAATAAATATTACATTGAAACAGCCGGAGAGATTGTGCTCTTCCAGAATTTTTGTTTCTTCTGTTTTCCATTCCCTTAGCCCACCCCCCAAAGAATTCTTTTCTAAGCAAAGAGTTATGTTAAAAGGAAGTGGATTTCTCTGCGAAGAATACAGAATTGACAACTAGAGTTCAAAAAGGGTACCGTCCAAGCCATAGCTGTAAGTACAGCAACAAGCATGTGGCCACTGTACATGAGGTCATTGCAACCGCCTCCAGCTTTCTTCAGCAGACTAAACCATGAAGACCCTTCTGGGACGGTTGGTCGTAAAAAATCGATGAGGAAGCTCATTGAGCCCCAATCAGGCCGGTATTCTCCAAGGTAACTGCCAGTATTAGCTGTCAAACACGGAAACTGTGAGTCTGATTTGTATGGGTTAAGGAAATTTACTTGTTCAAAACGCAGACTACAACAGTGAATCCTTAACAAGCAATTTACTTACATGAGTTATAGGTTTGCCATCAAGAAATTCCACTTGACCTAAACTCCCGGATTTTAATATTTGTAAGTAATCGGCATGTAATTATTTCGTGAAACAAAAAACGTTATATATATTATACTGTGAATCCAAGCATATGCTTAAAGCCTAAAAAGAAAACTATGCGACCTATTAAACTGAAATTTAAGAACTCAAAAATCTAGAGTGAGCAGACAACTGCTGAAAATCGCTATTTCTAATCTGCTTTGATGGTCAGGGAAGAATATCCTCCTAAACTGTACTATGAGAAAATAAGGGAGCAAGAGAGACTATCACAAACGTATGCCATAAAAATATTGAACATACCATATGCTATATCCAAATTTATTATCTTGCGAATAGCATCAGCATCTGAGGCATATGGTACATAATATTTCTGGGCCCAACGATGAGGATAAGCTGGGACTCTAAACCTAGAATAGGCACACCAGGGCCGAGCAGATGGAAGAATTGTAGAAGCGAAAGTTATAGCCCGAAGAAGTCGACCAATCGCCATGGTGAACATGTACCTAGCCCCCAGTCCAAGACCAGGAGCTTCTACAGAGTCGAACAACACAGAGAAAGCCAGCATCATGAACAGCATCAGGAAATGATGAAGCCCAATAATTGGAGCTCTCAATATATCAACAATTGTCTGAGGAAGTTTTTCATTTGATGCTAGAAGCAGCCACTGGCCGGTGTCAGGAAGAGGAGGTGTATCCCTGTACAAAACGAAATTTGCATAAAATTTCCTTCTTGTTATGGTTAAGCTCTAACCTTGCAGGTTTACTACAATGGTGTGGGAGACTGAAATCATAGAAATCAAACTGCTGCATCATACATCAATAATATTATGTAATGTCCTGCCTAGATACAATCCGGGCATCATGATGGAACTTCTATGGCAGAAATAGAGCTATAAATGGAGCTACCATAAACAGAAAGTGACGCTGTTTTTCTTTTACAAACAATGGAGAATGATACTCAACTGCAATTAACTTTCACATAAATGTGCTAACTCCATCACCCTCTATGAATTTATCGAAATTACAAAAAGAGATTCCCTCTGCATAGGCCATATAGCCATCACCATCAGAGACCTCGTCATTTTTTCATCAGACAGATCAATTCATCACATTCCATCACATGATTTATTCTGTGAAGCAACAGTGAGTGCTGGCAGTATCTATTCTAGACACGTAGGTCCTTTCTGAGTATATAGATTTCATGAATTTTCAGAGCCATGCATCGTTAGAGATGTTTTGTAATATGACTTATAAGCACATAAGAATTTACACTTTGGGACATTCAACAGAGGCAAACTGTAAATCTTGGAATTTGCTTGATGCATACAAGTCCTACAGTTTCATCTTGAAATCTTTTTCAACAGTAAAACTTTACTGCCAAATTGATCATTCTCCAAATTCTTTTCAAATTTGAGTAGAGACAGCTAAAGAGCATGAAGGACACTGAAAACAAGTTTATGGTAAATGGTGGCAGTGTGGCACTTTTGATAGCGGTCTCTGCTCCAGGTTTAGTATGCCAGAGTAAAATCATACTGCCTTAGTCCAAATCAAAATTACAAATAAAAACTTAAATTATCAATCGACTAGCACAAAACCATGGCATTGATGAATAATGTTCACGAGGTAGAGTGCATGATACAAATATATTAGAGATCATACATTATAATCCCATCTTGTAGAGTTCCACGTTGAAGACATCCATGAAATGAAACCATGATAAGATCCAAAAGCCCATGTTCTAGCTTTATCTTTTGATGTTCTAATTTCTAAGGATCACTTTGAATTAGGATTCCCAGTTAAGCAAATTCAACACTGTGAGACATCAAATGGAGTAGAAGTAGTTCACGGAAGAATGGAGATAAAACATAATCACAAATGCCCGGCATTCTGGAAACATTTTTTGAGTAGCGAAACATATAGATTGCAGGAACGAGTCCTGATTTGCTTGACCTCAAGAACATAAAGAGTGCAAGTCCAACATCTGACTCCCATCAGCACCTTATGGACTCTTCCCCATAAAAGAGGAAATGAGTCGAATAATTTCATTTATTGTTGACTAAAAAGTCTCATCATCACGTAATTTTGCTCATCTGCGTATTGATGGACTCATACAAATCATTCGAAGACATGCATGCATGCAAAAAAAGGAAAGAGGTCGAGCAAAGCTTCAACCTTTGCAATCTTTTCCGAAATTCAATCTCATTCACAGAGCAAAATTTCCAAGAATGGGTTCATAATTGAAGAGATACCCACATATGGAAACATCTGGAGAGAGCAGCAGACGCTAGACAGAAAGGTTCCGCTCAAGACAGCATCTAATTATAGTAAAAAAAAAACGTACTAATTAATGACCATGTATCAAAATATTTTCACTTAAATCTCGAGTCGCAATCGACGCAAGTACTCTTCAATCTTCAACGAAATCTTCACAACGAAGTCCATTATTTCCAATCGATCAAGAATGACTTGCAATCGCACAAACAACTTGCCGCATTCGACACCGCCACTGAATTTTTTAGTTCGGCGACAAAATCAAACTCAACCGCAAGCCAGATTCGAGCTTGCTGAAGTTCTGATAAGAGCAATTTCGAGCTAATGGAACTCCGATCCAGGCACGATCGAACTAGAAAAAGGGGGCGGCGCGTCATCGGCCGACCTCAGCCGGAATTACCTGTGCCAGTCCAAGCCGAGCACGGCGGTGACGGAGCGCACGGACAGAGCTTCGAAGAGGAAAGCTAGGAGCATGAACACCATGGAGGCGACGAAAGGCAGGGCCGACCGGAACTCGGCCGACCAGTGCCGGTAGTAGGGGACGCGGGAGACGGCGACGAGGGCGAGCACCGACCAGAGCGCCGGCTGCAGGCGCGCGTGCCACGCCGGGGACAGGCGGCGGAGGTAGTCGACGGCGACGTAGGACATGGCGGCCGCGCCGAGGCCGCCGGATCTCGGCGGCGTCCGCCATCGCATGGTGGCGCCGGTCGTGGTGGTCGAAGCGAGCTGCGATCCGGTAATGGCAATGACCGAACACTTGCTGCTCCTTCGCTCGTCCTAAAACAGCTTTACTAATAATTGTCGAGCATTTATTAATTTTTCAATTTCTTCTTCTTTTTTTCTATTTTTCGAGACTTTAAATTTCCCTTTTGGGTGAGTTCCACTTAATTATGTCTTTGCTTTTAATAGATTACGAAGTCGATAAAATAAATGAAGAAGTATTCTTATTTAAATGCTAACTGTTGATTAAATTTGTAATCCGAGTCGAGTTACCACATAGGCAGTTCAATAAATGAGCTCGGTTCGACTTGATTAGTAGATAAATTAACTCTAAGCTCGATAACTCTAGCTCAAAATTCGTAAAGTGTAACATATTGTAAAAAGAATAAGACACCCCTGCCACTTCCGAGCAAAAAATATTACTCCGAAAAAAAAAAGAGATCCCATAAATAAGGTAACACTTTTTTTATTCAAACTAATTGATTGTCTTTCAATTTACTTAATTTAAGTAAGCTAATAGTTTGAATGGGCTGTCTTATAATACAAGTAAATTGCCACGATTTTCTTGTCAATGAATAATTATTACATGTAATAATGTTTCAGGAAGTTTTTTCTTTAAATTTGCATGATGATAATGGATGTTGGGAATTTTTAATGTGCTTACCTCTATCATATTGTCAATTTTTTTTTTCAAATATCTATAAAATCTTATAGGGATGATATGACATAGTGATATATATTATAATTTTAATTAAACCAAATGCATTCACTAAAATAAGTAGATAATTCTTTTCATTTTTATTTGTGTTAGATATTTTAAATAATGAATATATATATATATATATATATGATAAATATAGATTAAACAGTTAAAATTGCTGAAAAGAGTGTCGACTATAACATAGCGATATATAAAGAAGAATGAAAGGCGAGATTTGATAATTTTGAACGTCTAAAAAACGATGCAGTCATAATGATGCAGGATGATGAGGTGTCTCCAGTCGTATTTGGGATTGAAAAAGCTCGAGTCTTCCCAATATTTATAAATATAGTCATTCAAGTAGTCTACGGAGCATCTAAAGTGTAATGCTTTTGAACATGCTTTTGTACTGAGACCTGCTGATGAATGGCCATACTACAAAAACCAACCTTATAATTCATATCTCTGAAACTTGTCTCTTGTTTACTATGATGGAATCATGGTATCCTTCCCCAGCAGTCTTACCATTAGTTATGGATTTAAGAGCTAAACGCGTCCCGTGAGGAAACTCATGTGAATTCAGTTGATTGTTGAGAAAGATAACAGATCATCGGTCGTGAGAAGCGAATCCCCGGTTGAATTAGTAGCAATGTTTAGCCGAAATTTATCGCTGAATTCGGGAACGGTGGCATTCTCTAGCAGGAACTATCATCCAGACAAAAGAAGAGGATCTTATTGCTGCTAATGTCACCGGTCATGTTCACAGTGATCGGGATCATGAGACAAATCCTGAGGATTCTTAAAGACAACAGTCACTGCCTCACATTGATTTCGTTACAGGACAAGACTTATTCGTAAGCCGAATTTCGTAAAATGCCCGACGAAGCTCGTCGCCCTTCACTCCTTGTATATTTTGATGTCTCTCCACCTTGATTCCATGTAGAAGCTTATGTTAGCTGGCGCCGCATACACTCCGCACTTGAAGTACAGATCGCCCGGCCCTTTGTCGGCCACCTGGAACACTTGATTCCCATCGAGAAACACGGTCACTTTCCCTTCATCGACGTCGTGGATTATGTTAAGCCTGAACCACCTGTCGTAGAGGCCAGTGGCGATAAGGTTCCCGCTGTAGTACTGCATGTCCCCATCATAGATCCTCAGTATGAGGGTAGTAGCTCCCTGAGCTGCACCGTGTATTTGGGCTATCGTAGCGCCGGATGTCCCATTGGGCACAAAACCGAACCCTTCGAATTGCCAGACTCCAGACGAGTAGTCTAGACCCTGCCAAATGTGTAACCTTGGAGCTTACAAAGATGTACAAAATCGAGGAGGGAACAAAGAAATCAAGACAGAATAAAATGGAAAAGATTCTGCTAATTCGATCAGTTTCTTTTTCAACCAATCACTACCACAACGATGAACTCTAGGGGGAATCAAGAATTACTCTAATCCGAACTTCAGTGCGTGGTTGAGTTTGACTGCTTGGATCATGGGGCTTGTCGTCGGCGTAGACCCACAACTTGCGCACCCCATCCACGAAGCTGTAGCGCTCCTCCAGTGGAATGTCGTAAGGCTTTTGCAGTTCAATGTTTGCATCTGTCAACGGTATCTCAGTGAAACCGTCCGTAGGATCAGCAAAACAGAACAGATTGGACTCCAGATTATGACTCGAGACCAGGACGACAAAGAACAATAGTACATGGCTAAAAGGTATCTCCATTTTTGTTTCTCGTCTGTCTGATAAATTGTTGAGGAACTAGTGAAGGCAGAGCTTCTATAAGTAGGGACAACTGAAACAAAAGCAGGAACCATATATGATTTATGATCTCAACAAAACAATGCATATCCTCGGGTCTTCTTTCCTTGGACAGACATGCTTGTCCTTTTGACAATTTGAATGACCTTGTCTCATCGGTGTGATCTCATGTGTATATACAAGTGATTCCGAGTTTCTGAGAAAATGTATGACCGTCCAATTATGTCAATGCAAAAGGGTTGATTGATGCCCCATTACTTGTCTTCAATGTAGTAGGTTTAGTCTTAATAATTGTTTATGGATTCAAACAATGGCAGATTTGTCGTTGATTTTCAGACAGTGATGGATGACGATATTGTGCCGTCTATGCACTTGGAGGTCCATTGCAATTTGTTTCCATCACCTCACCACATCGATTTCACACCGAGCCAATTACTTCATGGTGCCGTTTCATCGTGGCCATCTTCATCATTTTCATCCATCCGTGTTTGTGAGGGTTAGACACAAACTTCATTAGAATATATCAAATTACAAGCTTAAAGAGTTTTGTTAATTTTTGGTACAGCTAAGTATGTTACTGTCGGTTTCGTTTACAGCAAGCGATTGAGCAAAATCCTCTAAAATGGGAGAAGGCCGAAATGACTGATTGTATGGTAGTGCATTCTGCTCTAAGTTCATGCATAGAATCTAATCATCTCAATGAGACAGACTTGGCATTGTTTCCTTCTGTTTTCTTGTTTAGTATAAGACGATTAGCCTGACTCAAATTGTCTCCGTGTGCTAATCAGGATACCATTAGAATCTGGCTCTTTCTACTTGATGGAATTCTCAGTTCTAGATTCCGAAAGAACCGGATAATTTACAGCTCAACAGTCTAATATGTCTGAGTCAACATTTCAGATGACTGGGGGCACGCAAAATATACACGAAGGCCGACTATGAATGTAATTAGAATGTAAACTAAGGGATAAGTCGATGAATCTCGAGTGATCCCATTATTAACTATGCTAACTGATCTACAAGAAGCAGATGAAAAATCATAGTCGCATCATTAATGACATAATACATGAGCATGGACATGATCTTCTGTCAAATCTCTTGGCTCAGTATTTCCTATTTTCACTTTTTGTTAAAGTATCGACCCACTTGATCCGTCAGTTTTTTAGGAAATAAAATAAAAAAATGTAACCGAAACCATAAGAGATCTAAAAAAGGAAAAGTAGATTTAGCATGGAGAGATTGTGTCATTTGTTTCTTTGGCTGAACAAGACGAGGGATGAGGGTGCTAATAAATTTGTGTGCTAGTTGACTAACACATGCATGGAGGCTCATCAGTGGAGCTGGTGTCACATATGCAGAGACAGAGAAAGAAGCTTCAAAGCCATTTGTGGTCGACAAGTATTGTTGATTGGCATGTCTTTTCCTAATTCGACGTGTTTGGACCACCAACAGCTAACTGTATATTCAGCCCTAGCTTATACTTTGAACTAACCACAATTTACTTTTCTGCAATAAGCTGACTTCCCAGGTCACATGTTTTGCATATCATAGCCTTGATTACTTCACATGACAAGGCAGCTTTAGATGCATCATCCTAAAGTTCTCTGTCTGGTAGAAAGCTTTTGGTTTATTAATCAGTTAAGAGGCATGACTCTAAGCCAAGCGCTTTACGGGCGAAACCAAAACAACCAGTTATCAAATAAAAAGATGAAGAGGTTTTTTTTCGGACAATGTAGAACTGAGAGTCAATTTTGGGAACACCTGAACTTTTAGTTAGTTCTTTGTGACCCTGCTGACTTACTTTGCTAGCCAAATTGCCCTGTAATTACTCTCTACAAGCACTTATTGTATATTTTAATGTCCTTCCACCTCGATTCCATGTAATAGCTCACCTTAGGGGGCGCGGCATACACTCCACACTTGAAGTACAAGTCGCCGGGGCCACGATCTTGCGTCACGAACTTTAGAGTCCCATCAAGGTAAACCTCCACGATGCCTTGATCCCTGTCATGGATCACGTTCACCCTGAACCACTTGTCGTAAAGATTGGTCGCGATCAGATCGTGAAGATAGTATTGTACATCACCTTCATACATCCTTAGTATCAGAGTAGTGGCGTGCCCCGTGCCGCCATGGATCTGCACTATGATGGCTCCGGAGGTCCCATTCGGCACGAAACCGTAGCCCTCAAATTGCCACACCCCAGATGAATAGTCAAGCCCCTGTGAGAAAGTACATTAAGATCTAGTTGATGACAAATTTGGATGTGAGTCCTTTAGTCACTGTGAAGGCGGGCCTACTTGAACTACGAACACCATAAGGCATGTATGCACATTGGAAAAAGAAAAATTCAAAACTAATAAATGGAGGGATTGCGAGAATACTCTTATGCGAATTTCCGTCCGTGGCTTGGTCTTACTGTCAGGTTCGTGAGGTTTATCATCTGCATAGACCCAAAGCCTCCTAATTCCATCTGTGAAACTGTACCTCTCCTCCAACAGCTTGTCATACGGTCTCTGTATCTCGAAGTTCCACTCTGTCAGCGGCACGACGGTGAACCCGTCAGTGGGATCAGCACAGATACGAACTATTTCAATGCTATAAACAAGGACAAGGCACAGGATCAGAAGTAAAGAACGCATCTTCTTCAGTTCTTGACCAGGTGAAGTTACAAGGAAAAGCTGGGCATTGTACTGCTAGGATTATCATATCCACGAACCAGAGACAACACAAGTTAAGCCTAGAACCTTTTTTGGACCAGTGCCAGTGTCTTGTTCCTTCAATAAAAAAGCTTATATGTAGCACCTAACACTAAGAAGAGGTCAAATGCTCGATACAGATTGAAGCTTTAGTTCAACGGTTGATATATAATTGAGGATGACAAAGTTTGCTGGGTCACTCAAATAAATTATGTGCAGAAAGCTCCAAACATATGTTGGGTAAAAGATTTCATTCTTGGATTCAAGGCCATGTCCTCCTTTTTCTGTTTTTATCGGATTGGAATCACGTTTAGGTGATGTCATGAAGACTCTTATGCTTATGTTGAATCAGCATCTCCTCTAAAAGTATCTGGAAAGGAGAGAGCTTTGGATTATATTGTATCATCTTATATTATCAGAAGTTCTCTTCTTTTTTGACATATAAATTTACATTACCTTTGTCTCATGAAGAAACCCATCTCATCGAAACTCAATGTGTTGATCAGAGATCTCGATCTTTATACTACATTGGATCTTATTAATGAGTGTCTTGAGAGTACTAACTAAGACTACTAAAAATAATTAATATGTTTATGTTTTCAAAGCATAATTAATGACCTTTAACAAGTGCTTTAGAAGCACTCTTTGCCATTCTCCTTTTACATTTAATGAAGCGAAAAGTTGGCAGTGACTTGCAAAAGTAACTAATAGCTCATTTGACAGCCAAACTAGGAATACACAAGACAATTTGGACTCTTCTGCTAAAACACCAGGTAAAGAATTAAGCCAATCCATTCATACCCCATTGAAGACAAGCTCGGTTGATTGCATAAAATGTTAGAAGTACCAATGCCTCCGACAATTAAACTAACCGACCATATGTCCAATTACCAACGACCATGAACTTTCATTTATTCTGTACAAGAAGCCAGGAATTAATCTTAAAATCATCTTACATTGTCATTTCTTTACTGCCTAATCCTTCGTTCGTTTTATTGTTGCAAGACACAAATACAAGTGCCCTTCAAGCTCGTTCACTCGCTCCTGAAATGCGATGTTTTTCTTCTTGAGCTAGTTTGCCAGTGGCTCAGAAGTTTTTCCCTCCCTTCTCGTCAAACATAGATCAAACATGGCTTTGTTATGCTTCATCCAGTCAGCAAGTCGAGATACTAGCCGTCTAATCATCGCGACATTTCTATCCGTAATGCACAGCCCTTTAGCCGTGATATCCAATTGTTCTGCGACTTTCTCGAGAACCCGAGTCCTTGCAGATCCGAATAAGTTGGACATTCTTTTTCATTCTTACTTGTGCTTAGACTATTTTAGAATAGTAGTTTCCGAGTACAGTATATATGTGTGCATATACACACACAAAACTCATTAACAAAATGACCAGTTGGCTATCCGCCAAATAAGCTATTTTTCTTTGGAAAAGAGTCTCACCAGTTTCGTCTCAAATGGAAAAAAAAAAGAAAAAGCAGAAGAAGAAACCAAACAAAAAGAAGAAAAAAAGGCGAGATTCAAGCTCAATTCAAGAGTGGGCCTCACATTAGACCTTAGTCTTCATCGTATGAATATAATTGTAATTGAATTTTTTACTTCCAACAGCATGAAGTGGGACCCATAATATGATAAAGTGAAGATGATAGAAGTGTCTCCGGTCGTCTTTGGGATTGAAAAAGCACGAGCCTTCCCGATATTTATGACTATAGTTATTCAAGTAGTCTCGTGAGCATCTCAAATGAAGTACTTTCTAACATGCTTCTGTACTAAAACCTGTTGATGAATGGGCCATACTACAGAAACAAACCTTATCATTCATATCTCTGCACTTTTATTTTGTTTACTACGATGGAATCACGGGATCCTTCGCCAGCAGTCTTTCCACTAGTTATAGATATGGACTCTGTGGGTCGCCGATGTTAACAACTAAACATGCTGCGTGAACGCTTCGCCTAAAGCTCATGTGGATTCAGTTGGTTGTTGAGAAAGATAACAGATAATCAGTTGTGAGACGCTAGACACCAGTTGAATTAATCGATATGTTTCGCCGAAATTTATCACTGAATTCGGGAACAGTGGCATTCTCTAGCAGGAATTGTCATCCAAACAAAGAACAGGATCTTATTGCTAATGTCACTGCTCATATTCATAGTGATCAGAATCGTGAGACAAATCCTTTGGATCCTTAAAGACAGCAATCACTGCCTAACAACGATTTTGTTATCGGGCAGGACTTATTCGCAAGCCAAGTTTTGCAAAATGCCCAATGAAGCTCGTCGTCCTTCACTTCTTGTAGATTTTGATGTCTCTCCATCTCGATTCCATGTAGTAGCTTATGTTAGCCGGCGCCCCATACACTCCACACTTGAAGTGCAGGTCGCCCGGCCGTTTGTCAGCCACCTGGAACACTTGATTCCCATCGAGAAACACGGTCACTTTCCCTCCATCGACGTCGTGAATTATGTTAAGCCTGAACCATCTGTCGTAGAGGCCGGTGGCGATAAGGTTCCCGCTGTGGTACCGCATATCCCCCTCGTAGATCCTCAGTATGAGGGTAGTAGCTCCATGAGCTGCACCATGTATTTGGGCTATCGTAGCGCCGGATGTCCCATTGGGCACGAAACCATGCCCTTCGAATTGCCAGACTCCAGACGAGTAGTCTAGACCCTGCCAAATGTGTAACCTTAAAGCTTACAAGGATGTGGTACAAAATCGAGGAGGGAAAGATTCCGCTAATTAGATCAGTTTCTTGTTCAATCAATCACTACTACAACGATGAACCGTAAGGGGGTACGAGAATTACTTTGATCCGAACTTCGGTGCGTGGTTGAGTGTGACTGCTTGGATCGTGGGGCTTGTCATCGGCGTAAACCCACAACTTGCGCACCCCATCCACGAAGCTGTAGCGCTCCTCCAGTGGAATGTCATAAGGCTTTTGCAGCTCGATGTTTGCATCTGTCAACGGTACCTCAGTGAAACCATCTGTAGGATCAGCAGAACAGAACAGAATGGATTTCAGATTATGACTCGAGACCAGGACGACAAAGAATAACAGTACATGGCTAAAAGGAATCTCCATTTTTGTTTCTCGTCAGTCTCGAGAAATTGTTGAGGAACTAGTGAAGGCAAAGCTTTCTATATGTAGGGACAACATAAACAATGCAGGAACCAGATATGATTTTCTAATCTTAACCCAACAGAGCATATCCTATGGTCTTCTTTCCTTGGACAGACATGCTTGTCCTTTTGACAATTTGAATGACCTTGTCTCATCTATGTAATCTCGTGTATATACAAGTGATTCCCAGTTCAACGGTTGATAATTGAGGATGACAAAGTTTGCTGTGTGACTCAACTAAATCATGTGCAGAAAGCTCCAAACTTTGTTCAATAAAAGACTTCCTTCCTGGATTCAAGGCCATGTCCTCCTTTTCGTGTTTTTATCAGATTGGAATCAAATTTTGGTGATGGCATGATGACCCTTTTGCTTATGTTGAATCAGCATTTACTCTATAAGTATTTAAAAAGGAGAGAGCTTTGGATTATATTGTATCATGTTATATTATTAGTAGTTTTCTTTTCTTTTCTTTTGGGATGAGTGTATTGAAAATCCTAAAACTTGTCACGAAAATGCAATTAAGTCCTAAAACTTTCGAAAAATACAATCAAGTCTTAAAACTTGTCACGAGAGTGCAATTGAAAACTAAAACTTTCAAAAATTACAATCGAGTCCTTCCATTAACTCTGTCCAACTTGACAAACGGAATATTAATAAGTTTTAGAACTTGATTGCATCAACTTGACAAGTTTTACAATTTAATTGCACCAACTTGACAAGTCTTAAGACTTGATTACACTTTCATGATAAGTTTTAAGACTCAATTGCGACGATTTTAGGACTTCCGGTACATTTATCCACCATAACAATTTACATTACCTTTGTATCATGAAGAGACCCCTCATTGAAACTCAATGAGTTGATAGGAGAAATCAATCTTTATATTGTATCAGATCTTATTAACGAGTGCCTTAAGAGTACTAATTAAGACCGCTATAAATAATTGGTATGTTTATCTTTCCGGAGCAAAATTAATGATCTTTAACAAGTGCTTTAGGGGCACTCTTTGCCATTCTCCATTTGCATTTTATGAAGGGAAAAGGAGGCAGTGATTTGTAAAAGTAACTCATGGCTCATTTGACAGCCAAACTAAGAATACACAAGACAATTTGGACTCTTCTGCTAGAACGCCAAGCAAAGAATCAAGCCACTCCAGTCAAACTCCATCGAAGACAAGCTCGATTGGTTGCATGAAGTGTTAAAAGTACGAATGCCTCCGACAATTAATCTAACCGACCATATGTCTAATTACCAACGACCATGAACTTTCGTTTATTCTGCACAAGAAGCCAGAAATCCATCTTAAAATGATCTTTCATTGTCATTTCCTTTACTGCCAAATCCTTCGCTCGTTTTATTGTTGCAAGACACAAATACAAGTGCTCTTCAAGCTCGTCCACTCGCTCCTGAAATGTGATGTTCCTCCTCTTGAGCTCGTTCGCCGATGGCTCAGAAGTTTTTTCCCTCCCTTCTCGTCAAACAAAGATGAGCCATGGTTTTGTTATGCTTGATCTCATCGCTAAGTCGTGATACTAGCCGCCTAATCATATCGAAATATCTATCCAAGAAGTACGTCCCTTTAGCCGCGATATCCAATTGTTCTCGAGAAACCGGAGTCCGTGCAGATCCGAATAAGTTGGACATTTTCCTCCTGAAGCACTTCAGCGGAAAGCTAAAAATGGGCGGCCCCATAGGCAGCCCGGTGAGCATATGGGCTGCGAGAACCATCACCGTTATCGCGACTACTAGACCACATGTAGCAGTGACGAATATTCCCATCGCCTTGTGAAGAAGTCGGATCAGCCGAATCTTCCTTGCCACC